AAACCCACCAACAAACACTCCTCAACAAACAAACCGAGCGACCTCCAGCCGTCCCAGAGCGGCCAGAGCCGTGCTTCCAGTCTGCCACAGAAAATCAAACATCTCCTCCCTTCCCACCTCCTCGGGCTCCCTTGTCATTTGAGACTTGGAAGTTACAACAAACCGGGCGGTTTAAAAGCTTTGGTTGGAGCCTCAACAAAAGCCACGGGCTGGGGCTGTAGCAGCATTTTCACCCAACTTCCCAGCGCCACATTCCTCAGTCCCGCAGTCACGGTCTCACATTCTGGGCAAAGAGTCCGTTTATTTCTACTATTATTATTTCAACAGAAAGTCCTATAGCACTTGGCAAAAAAAAAAAAAGAAAACAAAAACAACCAAAACCCCAAAAAACAAACCCATTCGTTGTTTAAGGGAGTTGTTTAAACTGTCCAACCGCCGGCACCAGCCGCGGATCCCACACAGCCCTGCCGAGCCCCGCTCCTAGCCCCCCCTCCCCGGGGATATTGTCGCAGGGTGTCACCTCCGCACAAGACCCCCGGGCTGGGCAACACTGGCACCGCCGCCCGAGGCTGCCCACCCGGCCGGGGAGGGGTCCCACGGCCAGCGGCTCGGTGATGAGAAGGGACCGGGGAAGATCCCCCCACCCGGCTCCGCGGTCGGTGCTGCCGTCGGGCCGGGGGGGGGCTGCAGCCCCGGCCCCGCTCCCCCCGCAGCGGTTCGGTCCTGAGGTAGTTGAACACCGGCTGCGGTCAGGAAGCTCCTCCGGGGACGAGATCTCTGCACAGCCTGAGATTCCGCCCCTCTCCACCCCCCTGTTCAAGGGACCCACGGCCGTGCCCCCTAAACGGGCAGACTGCAAGCCCGACCCACTGCCCGGGCAGCCCCCCACCTGTTCGCAGAAGGTTTCCCGAGTTTGGGGGCTTTTTGCAGCCATCAGATTTTGGGTGAGCTCTAGAGGAGGATCATTATTAACATTATTCTTATTATTGGGAGGGAGGTGTTTTTCCTTAGACAAAGGCTCCTCTTTATAACCGATGTGTGCCACGCCAGAGCCCATCGCGTCTCAAAGCTACCCGCTAGGCACGGTACCTTTGCAGTGCAAAAAGTCCTCGGGGTGAGGGAAGGAGCCCTCTTCGCAGAGCAACTCGCAGGTTTTATCCGATGCCAGGGGGTAGCCGTTGTGCTCCTCATTGTAGTCACTCTTGCCGTTGCTGTTTGAGTAGCCGTTGGCATACATCTTCAGGGCGGACCTGCGGAGGCACAGGAGCTCCTGGAAGGCATACCTGAAGTCCGGGCTCCGGCAGTAGATCAAAGGGTTGAAGGCAGAGTTGACATAGCCCAGCCAGTTCAAGAGGATGTACACGTACTTGGGTATGATGTCGTCCTGGATGACATGCACGATGTTGACGATGAAGAAGGGCAGCCAGCACAGTGTGAAGGTGCCCATGATGATGCCCAGGGTCTTGAGGGCCTTGTGCTCCTTCAAGAAGAACTTGGAGGTACGGCGGTGCCCAGCTCCCCCTTTCTGCTCCAGCTCCTTGTTCTGGATGTGAAACCTCCCCTCGCTCCTGTCTATCTTCTGCAACTGCTTCTTGGCCACCTGGAAGACCCTGGCGTACACAAACACCATGACCACGAGAGGCAGGTAGAAGGATATGATGGAGGAGGCGATGGCATAGGCTTGGTTGGTGAAGAAATCACAACACGTGTCCTTCTCATAGCACTGGATGGCCTCCTTACGGTCTGCCCGGTACCAGTGCATTTGGATGGGCAAGAATGAGGTGAGAGCCGAGACCACCCAAACCACAAGGATGACCATGCGTGCCTTGCTCTTGGTCAGCAGGCTCTGGTACTTGAAAGGGGAGGTGATGGCAAAGTACCGGTCCACAGCAATGACGCACAGGGTCTCGATGCTGGCCGTGACACAGAGCACGTCCAAGGAGGTCCAGAACTCACACCAGAAGTTCCCAAACTTCCACATCTCCATGATGATGTGGCAGGCGCCAAAGGGCACCACGGCCAGTCCCATCACCAGGTCAGCGCAGGCCAGCGAGGTGATGAAGTAGTTGGTGACAGTCTGCAGGCGCTGGAACCGGGCGATGGCGGTGATCACCAGCACGTTGCCGAAGACGATGGCCAGCACGATCATCGACATGAGGATCCCCATGCCCACCATCCACACGTCCCGCGACACCGTGGGGTCGGCGGCGCTCTGGTTGGCACTGAGGTTGCCGCCGGGCAGCTCGGTGCCTGCCACCCCCATGGCCCTCCTTCCTCCCCCTCCAGCGGCCCCCCCCGGGGCAGGCGGCGGGGGCTCGGTTTCGCCTAGGGCTCCTCGGCGGCAGCGCTGCACCGGGAGCCGCGCATACGGGACGGCAGGTGCGGGGCGGGCTGGGTGCGGGGAGGATGGGGGTCGGGGGGTCAGGCGCTCACGCTGGACGTGCCCGGCACCGTTCCGTTCCGTTCCGTTCCGTTCCGTCCCGTCCCGTCCCGTCCCGTCCCGTCCCGTCCCGTACCGTCCCGGCGAAGCGGAACCCGCTCTGCGCAGGTGCGGCGCCCTCTCGCACATACCACCG